TCCACTCATGTGTGTCCAAAGTTTTGACAGATAGTGTATAATGCAATATCAAGTATAAGATAGATGGATGGATGGATTGCTTGAAGATGTTTTGCTCTGTGGCAGAAATAAGGTGAATGTCATGAAAAACAATTCCAGGTCATTTTCCCGCAAAATACATGTTCACGTAAAATGCAAAATAAAATAACTTAGCTTAGCTTAGCTTTGCTTTACAGAAAAAAACACAGCTGAACATAACCATGGAAATTATTTACATTTTAGTATACTCGTCAAAACATCAGAAATATGAACTTACACTAATGAGAGTATGCTTTTATCCAAAGCAACTTACAAATTAGGATCATAATCCAACATAAGCCAGTTTTTTACTTTACTTAACTTTACTTTACTTAACTTTTTTTTTTGTGACAATTCAGCACTATTTCCACCGAAAATGTGCCTAATCATTCTGAAAATAACGTCACAGTGCAAAATAACCTTATATAATAATATACTTTATTATATAATTCCCTAGGTTTTTCCTTTGCTTTTAGGGTAAATGTGATCTCGACATGTTCTTGTTAGGTTTTCGGGACATTCATCCAACTGCAGATGGTATTCTTTTCTTTGCAGGTGACTATTGTGCTGTCATGTCTACAATATGTTTGTTTTTGGTTTTTAAAGGCTTACTCACCTTTTTGGATGACTGTCAGGGCTATTTTCAGCATTGCGGTTGGCCCCACCAGTAGACCTGCGGTTATCACCTTTTGTGTGTTCACCTGCACCCCTGCTGCGGTTTAAGAGGCCGGGCATGAACCATTAACCAGAGGTTATGCTCGGAGTAGACCGCCTCAGGATGTGTCAGAATGATTTACACGACTCAACCGTGATGTAAATACCAGCACCGAATGCCTTCTGTTGCCCACATAATGAATCCAGCTCTCATGGTGCTTGTTTTGACAAATGAGAATCAAGGGGTCGCGTGTTAATCAGTTTCATTATATGACATGATGACGTCCTGCTAAAGAGTGTGATTGTTTGATGTCTATATGGTGCTGATTGTCACCAAATGCTATTACGCCACCTTTTGACCTTCAAGCCAGCTGTTTTCTTGCTTTCTTGCATTGGGACGAGCTCCGTCAGGATTTCTAGCCGTTCTGAATGTCCTCGTCTAACCGGAGTAATTAGATTAGGGTGAGTGCTTTCATAGCTGTACTTCTGTTTAAGACTGGATGATGAAGCTGAAGTCTTACATATTTAATATCTTAATATTTTTCATTCTTTGGATGATATGTATCTTTGCATCAGTCATATAAATCATCCATTTGACCAAACAGTCAAATAGATGATTTATATGACTGTAATTCATAATCAATCAATCAATCAATCAATCAATCAATCAATCAAATTCAGAATATTATATTTTTAAAAATGGAATGAATATATATATATATATATATATATATTCCATTTTATTCCATTAAGATTTATTTAGTATATTCTATAGAAACCGTAAGTAATTTATTATATACATGTATATCTCAAAACAATGTTTTGTCTTTTTCCAAGTGGAAAAAGTTAAAAGAGAAATTTAATCTTTGCAATGTTTGGAAAATTTGTAATTTGTTTTAAATATTTTGTATCTTTTTAATATAATTTTTCTGATTTTATTTACATTTTTATATCATTATTTTTAGAGTACAGTGCAACAAAGTCACTGCAAATATAAAGCGTAGTAAATATACTGTTCAGGCCTACTTCTGTTGCTCTTCCGGAATGACCTCTGAAAGAGAAGTCGTCAGGCTCGGTTTCAAACATTCCAGGCATCTTCAGAGGCATGAAGGCATGCTGGGTCGGGCCAGATCTCAGGGCAGACATAAGGTGTTTGTTAGTTATGGATAGCAGGTGGACAGGCTGTCATCAGCAGGTGCCTGCAGGCAGAGTTAGGCCAGGTGATGGAATCCGGTCTGGAGAAAGACCAGGCCTGTGTTAGGAGTCTGGAGAAAGACTTAGAGCAGAGCTCTGGGATGGACTGAGAATAGGGAGAGATTTCTCTTTATCACTGAAGTGTTATGGACTGGTACAGTGGTCATACTGGGTCTGGGTAGAGATAAGGATGTGTACGGTTTGCATAAATGTTTATGCCGGGTTGATGTTAAAAGAACAAGACGGGACATATTTCACATAACACAGAGCACAAAATTAAATACATAACACAATAATTAACTAACTAATTAAATAATTTCATTATTCATTCTGTAGCTTATATCAAATTTTCTTTTTTTGTCGCAACTTTCAAAGTCAGATTTTCAAAAAATTTTTGTAAAATAATATTGAATGATGTACTACAAGAAATAGTATACAAATACATGAGAAATATGAAATTAAATTATAATATATTTTATTTATTCATTAGATTTTTTTTATATCTTGTCTTAAAACCTCAAAACATTATCTGTTTGAAGGATTTGATGAAAAAAAACAAAAACAGATCTCGTCAGACTGTTGTATGTTTTCTGCTATTTTAACATTACGTTGTATTGCCTATTCTAAAAATAGTGTATCTGCGTTTGTCTGAGTTATCCAAAATTGGGATGTCATCTTGCTTACATTTGTTGTATCTCTCTTATCAGTCTTCCTGTTTAAAGTGGTTAATCGTTTGTGTTCAGAGTTCGTTTAGATATGCTGAGACCTGTAGTGAGAAAAAACAAGAGATTTTCAGTGTTTATGTGCTTTACGGCTCCACGTCCACAGCTGGAATAACATCTTTTAGCAGGAAGTCAAATCAAACAGCAGCACTAGTCATGCTTAAAGTCTCATGCCCCTTATTAAGAAGAAAACATCCTGTTCACATAATGAAAGAATGAGACTGATCATTCTTACCCATAGAAACTTTTGCATGACAATTTAGATGTCTTCAAGAATCAATCTGTGCTCAGTCTAATGCTATGCGGTTGCTAGGTGATTTTAGGGAATTGCTGTATAAAAATTGGTTCTTCAGCCATTCTTTGTAGTAGTTGAGGTGCTATATAGCACCGCTAAGTGGTTCTTTGGCTTGTAATCATAGGGGAACCAATTTAAGTGCTATATACCACCTATAAATAACCTGTAATGGTTCTTCAGTGGTTCGTTGGGGTGGTTAAGGTGCTAAATAGCACCATCTTTAAAGATATAGGTGCTATGTACTGTAGCACTTAAAGTGGTTCCCCTATGATTACGAGCCAAAGAACCACTTTTAGTGCTATTTAGCACCATTTGTTTTTAGAGTGTTTTTCACAAACACCAGCAATACAAGACATGTTGTGATTTTTCAGGTGCAGCACACCTGTTAAACTATAAACTCTGTTAGTTAAGGCTCAGTACCTTTTTAAAGAACACTTTATCAATGACAAGTCAAGGTCATTGATAAACGAGAAACTGACATTGTGAAACCCGATGTGCTCTGTCAGCATTAAGACGAGCAATTAAATGGACCGAGCAAATTCAACACAAATGCCAGATGGCTGAAAAGAACACGCGTATATATTCATCTGTCAAAACAAATGGTAAGAGCCGATGGCTTCCAGACCATGTCAAATTCCTCACTTTCATCTGAATCAAATTTTGCAAAGACACGCTTGAACTCTGGGTATTCATAAATTGTTGTCCTTGGAATGACACAACTGAAATCTGAACCCAAGTTGCATTGACTTTTTTTATTTACCACAACCAGTGAGAAATAAACCAGCATTATGTTTGTGGGTTCCAAGTCACAAGCTTAGTGGTAAAATCACTGTGACACAAGGCCTCTTTTGGCCCAGAGCACACATGCAATACTGTATCCCACAATGCAATGTGTTTAACTTGACCTTCCATATGTGATGAATGAACTGGTAATATGAGCTAGTGCTGGGCGGTATACCGGTTCATACCCGAATACCGGTGTATATTTTTGTTATGATATGAATTTTTAAAATACCGCAATAGCGGTGTATGTCGCTTAAACAACGTTCGGAACGCGACACTGTTTGAAAGGGGTCTCTTTTCACTGTTGCACTGTGGTGAGGGCACAGCTGTATGTGTTACTAAGCGTGAAAGTTCTGAAACTGAAGCTGTAGAACCTTTTAACAAATAAGCACTAAGTTAACCTGCAATACCAACCAAGAGCACAGGGAGATGCCAAAGGACTGCATATAAACTACTATGGATCCATTCATAATCACTAAACACCAAAAAACAAATGAAAAATGAAACCATTCTGGAAACTCAGTGATTCAAAAGCAGCTCGCCTCGACGTCATCAGTGAATACGTTCCTCTTTCGGAACATGCAATAGTGTCAGTGTTGCGTCTGATGGCCATGTGTACATAAACACATCCGTTATAAAACACTCGCTGTATACGACTACATGAATATACTGAAATACAGAGTTCTGGCATGAAGCTCTAGATAGCGCAGTCCGATAGGTCTAACTCAATCTGACCTAATGACATCATTATCACATGGCACAGCTGATTGGTTCTCTCCTGTATCGGTAGCCAATGGGCTCGCTGCTCAACATTCAAATATATGACTAGTGCTTGCTTCAGAAACTTTCCACCTTCCCCAGCTCCACCTGTATAGATCTGCTACGAGGTGATTCATGTATGCTATATTGTTTTTTTTTCATGTATGTTATATACAGCAGCAATATTTCTTACATGCGTGTGAAAGTTATCAGGTTATCAATTCATCTGTGCGTGTTTTCCAAATGAAAGCAAAATGTTTGTCTTGGTAACCTTTTATCAAAATGTAATAAGTTGCACCGCTTCTGAAACCACTTTCTATTTCAGCCAATGTCATGAATCCTTCTTCACTCCCTCTCTTCCAAACACCTGGCTCCAATTGGGTAAAATCAAGTCCCGTTCTGCAGTTTTTCTTGTTGAAAATCCCATTTCACTTGAAAAATGTCATTTCACGGTGGTGAAATGTGTTGACTTGTCATGTTGACTTGAAAGTCACAGAATCAGGCCTGACATTTGTGTTTTTTTCTGTGTTTTGCAGGTATCATCCTCCTGCGTTCCTGTTGCCAACTATGAACTGGTAAGAACGTCTGTGGTTGTTTTGATGACCCGTTTTTGATCATTTCCTAGAACCGTCATCACACGGAATCTGCACTGTTAATCAGATTGATGATAAAGTGATGTTTACGTGGGATGAGAACGTATCATCCCACAACCGTTAATATTTATAAAAAGGAAATAAAAGCTTGGGGTCTTCGGTTCAGATCTCTCCCAAGACCTAAATAAGCCAGGGGGAATAACAGAGCATGAGCGATAGCATAGTGAACATTCCTTTTTTGGTTTTAATTGTGTTTTTGGTCTCTCTTTCCTCCTCCTCCTCCTCCTCCTCCTCCTCCTATGTACGCTTGCCCGTGCAAGGCAAGCCAGAATGCATCATTACTCTGCCCGTGTTACTAAAAGGTCTCTTGTTGTACATCGTGTCCTCAAAATGGAACGCATATTTTTAGTTGTTTTTTCGAGGGAAAGTTTGGCTTTCATCAGTTGGACATGGTTTGGTTTATTCTCCCTCTCTTTCCAGTTAAAGTATCAAATGGTAGAGCGAGTGTTGTGTGGAAGTGCATGCAGGTACTAAATAAACACACACTTGAAATCAGATGGCCTGTTTAAAGACTAATCAACTGAACTATAAAAACTGATGTTCTGAGGATAAGTGTGAAGGACAGAAACATATTTCAAGACATGAGACAAATGCTACAGGACTGCAAAAATACAAGTTTATGCACCAAGGAATTGTGTTGCATCTGTTAACATTCACATATTTTATTTTATTTTGTTTTCAACACCCTCAGATTTTATATGAGATATTATTGAGATAACAAGGTGGTCTCGAGCTGATTTTCAGCTACATTTATTGAATCATCACCACTGAAAATCTGATGGTGTGTACATAATAATTATATTGAACATCCTTTATAGTTGCATATATTTTCTTATATAAATGTTATAATCTATTACTATTTTAAATATTATATTCAATCTTTATTTAATCTCAAATTTTGTAGTGTTAATTATTGAAATAATATTAATGAAATTAACAAATGTAAAACATTTTAATATATAATCTAATATAAGTATTGTGTTGTGAAGAGGTTAAGGGCAAGTTGAACGGCGCAGTGTTGTTGTTAACTAAAACAAACTATTGAAAATGTTTTTCGGGAATTGAAATAAAGCTGAAATAATATTGCATATAAATATTAGATGAAAAACTTCTAAAAAGTAAACGTAATAAATATACTACAATTGAAATAAAAATAAATGATAAAATAATTTTAAAAAATCGAATGAAGTAGTTAATTTTTGTTAAGAGTATTATAGTGATCATTTAAGATTAATGTTAAAGTGGAGATGACAGGTAAAATTGTGAGAGATATTTTGTCGGTGTGGAGGTCTGTGGCAGCTGAACTTCACTAAGTAGAACACATAAACTAGAATTTTAGGGACAACAGTGAAGGAAACTCAGAGCAGTTGTCCAGATAGAAAGTGAAAATGAAGAATCTACTTATGTAAGGCTTGGACCTGCAGATTGAACATCCCAAACATGAATATTTAGTGATTTTGTTTACCTAAAGTCTGTGGAGAAAAGCTTTTGTGATTGTGCCACTGTCCCTCAACACACACACACACACACACACATACACATACACGCGCACACACACATATATACACACACATATACACGCACACACACACACACACACACACACACACACACACACACACAAAGAAGATAAATATAGATAAAGGAGAATTAAAATAGAATAGAAAGGGCTAAAGTTAGAGGGGCAAATAAAAGAGGAAAAAAGGTGCT